ACACGAAACGAGTTCGCCAGATTCTGTGGCGTAGATAATCGATCGCCAGACTACGGTAGAAGTCAGTGGGGAATTTTCTTGCCTTCATGATAGAATCGTTTCAGGAAATAAATCGATTGCTTCCAATCCCAGTTTTATTGCTTTAGGGGGCTGTAAACCACAAAGTTTGCTATTTTGGATCAGTTTTAAGCAAGAATTCATAAACTGCGAAGCTTTTACGACAACTCGGAAAAAGAATCATGTCAGAAGCCATGTTGGTAGAAACCGCGATTGAAATTAAAATTCATTTACCATCAGAAATCAATGGGAAAAAACAGGAGAAAAATGCAAAATTCGATCGATTATCAGGTAGTTTTTACCCCAATTGCGACCGATAGGAATCCAATGCGCAGACAGCAGTCGCATCAGCGAGCGAATGGTAATTTTATCGGAGGCGATCTCGACAAACCTTTGGTTCGTCTGTCTTTCCACCCATATACAGGCTAACCTAGTTTTAGAGTCTTAACACCGGTTTATCTCGTTATGCCAACACATCGATTGTTCTTCAAAAGAAAACGACAGTATTCGAAAATCTAGTCGTAATGCGTGAAGGAACAGGAGGTTTTTGAAAATTTTTTTAAGCGTCCATAAAGCTTGCATTTTGAGTTAATTTAGGTTTATCATTCCGAAGAGCACCCGATTTATGATCGAGGAGAAGTAATACTAAAAGTTTTCCACTCTTATTATGATACAGGGAACTTGATGTCCTGAGAATAGCTGTCTGCAAGAAAACTACCCGTACATGAAAATATTCCAAACACGTGGCCTGAGTTTTTCTAAAGACCTGCATGTCCTCTGGTGGAGAGAAAGATCACGTACTGATAAGAAAAACGTTTGGCTGTATAAGTCCTGAATTCTACCTGTAGAGATATAGAAGTAGGGAATGCATGATCCCTCTCAAAGAGTTAAACATTGAGTCAATATGGAGAGCTCCAAAATCCGAAAAAGTAATAGTTAATGTCATCCCTTCTCGAGCAGCCCTCTTCTGCGGCATATAAACTCGTCTGAGCCATCATCTTCTGTCGATACTCTGGATAGTTTGCTTAACCGCAGAACGTGAATGCATAAATGGCAGGTCATTTATCGATTCCACCTTATGATGCCGGAATGCTTGAAAAACGCAGTATATTTGTTTTTGGCTTGTGCTACAATGCGGTTTGTTTCTGAATTCTCCTTCTATCTCGTTGCAGACATTCGTTGGAAAATTTGTCATAGTTTTGTATATGTTCAAAAACAGGATTTTCGATGTCACTATCAAAGTGAAATAGTTGAAGTGGCAATGGACAGTTCATGTTGCAAGAAAAACCGACTATCGTTGGACAAAATAAACATTACACTTGGTCTTGAGAGAGAGCATACGGTCCTTAGGATGACCTCCATATTGATGAAAGGATAAGCTGAAGATGTGCGCTGAATCAAAACGACGGAAACGGAAGAAAACAGAAGTCTATGGAAATGTCTTTGAGAGGCTCCAGTCTAGCAGTGTGTGCAGAAAAGCTGTTGAAAGTTACGCATATACTTTCATTTGCTTGTTTTATTTAAACCACTATTAATTTCCTTATTTAATTTGAGCATTTATTTTTCGAATTATATTGAAGGCAGTTTTCTGTGGTGGCGATTTAGGCTGTGAAATGTAAATTTGGAACATCTGTGGCCGCCTTGATGTAGCGATCTCAAAGAGTTCGAGAAACATGTGCACAGCATCCAATTCGCATCGGAAGTTAGAGACAGGAAAATGATCTAAACAGCAAAGTATAGTGAAAATATCGTATGTAAGCAACTCAGCTATGGAAGAAGACCATTCACTCACATATTCAGTTTTTGGGCATGCGTCAAAATGTTCTTGAACTCTCCTACCTTAGAAATCTATAGAATATATTCAATTCCGACATTCTGGAACAACAGAAATGCTTCTTTAGGAAGCTGTACTAACAGCTATTCTAAATTCTGCATCTAAATAGAATTCAACTAAACTGATTATAGGCTGAAAATATACAATTATGATCTGGAAGAACACACAGAAGATGATTTCGGGACCACTTTCCTGGAATATGGTAATTCTCCAATAAATATACGTTTATTTAAAATACGGAATAAATGCAGCTTCTCGAAGTGCTTGGACATCTCTTGCAGAAAGAAGGGATCATGCCAGAAAAAGAGCATGTTTGGTTTATGCCATTTTAATCGCTTGTGTGGATACGGTTACACTGTGAAGGCTATGAAAAAGCTTTAAAACGGGGTGCAAAAGTATGCAATCTGTTGTAACAGCGCAGACTACTAGGCTTAGCCGTACCATAATACTTAGAAGATGCGGAGTATATGTTTTTATGAGCGGACTATAATTTGCAAAAAACTCGGTCATTCCTTTGGTTGTCGAATTTAACGAAAACTGCTGGTTAGCCTGAAAAGGTGAAACAATAACTTACTAGCAGGCTTAAACTAATTTGATAGGTCATTTTCACTCATTAGATCATTTTTACGTCTGTGACCTGCAGATCTTTTTTACCAGATACGACAGCTTTTTCAATGCTCTAAAACAAAGCATTCAGTTTATTGTTTTTGTTTGCTAGCCAATGGGATTAAAACAACGACGTCCAAAAAAACCAATAAGATGAAAGATATGATATAAGCAACTAACCCTCCACTCATTCTCTCACAGACTAAGCCAATATTAGGGTGTTGTCATCCAAACAGAAAGCAGACGCTTTCACTGGTGGCATTTCCGTTGGAGATGGACAGACGTCTCAAGTGCTGCATTGAATTGACTTGTGGTTGTTCAGAGAATCTGTACTCTGCATGGAAAACACCTAAGTAAACAAAGTATTCATACATATTCATTGAAACTCGTTTCTTGCATAAGTGGGACTTAACTATATCTTATACTATCCCTTATACTGAAAACAGTATAATGATTATGGTGGTCCATAGGGTTACCGGAGAAGATCCGTTTGATTTATTCTGCAACCATTAGTGTTATTATCTATATAACGCATTTGTGAGCAATTTTTGCCAATACGCAGTGTATGCAACGTCGAGAGCAAGTCGAGCGGTTAGAACATTTGCTGGAAGACCATACTATTTCACCGCAGCTTTTCACATTCAACAACATCAGAACATGTTCTAAAGAAAGTTTCGTAAGTAGTCATATGCTGTTTATACGACAGTTGTGCTGCGACGTCTTATACCCTGTCACGGTGCCATGCGCAATGAATTGTTTCGCCTCTTGCGACTACTTTAAAGTTCCTAAACGACACCTTCTTTAATTTTCTGAGCAGTCAGGCTGAGCATCAAACATCAAAGAATCGCCAGCTTTAACTGGCACGCTACACCATTTGTAATTTACGAACAGCTAACAGCATAAAAAGCATCGTCATGTTGTACAGTTCCTTGATAACCAAGAGCAATTGGTCATGTGTCTTGTCGCTATCGAAACATAATATGCACTGGAACGTTTCAGTCAGTCAGTCAGTTTTTTTCAGACATTATGCAAAACACCTTTCTCACCTCAGTTTCGCCGACCGCACACAAGGCATTTTTAAACAGTGAACAACTCTAAACACGGCTTTAACGACCAAAGTGCTTATGTCGGCCCTCATGCTTGTTAACAATATTCAATGACATGAACGAAAAGCGTATCATCATTAACGATGAAATGATATTTCAGGGAGGTAGGAAGATTCACCATCTCGCTCATATTCAAGGAACTCATTGAAGCAGAGTCAATCACGTCAAAGAATATCACGCTGAAGTAAACGTTTGTTATTGGTTTGTTTTAACTTGAGATACAATATATCATCATGTTTCTATCAGATTTGGGACGAAAACAGTTAGAATTGTTTTCAGGATTTAGTAACAACAATGTTGAAGTCATTAAGATGTTTTTGAATAAAGTCGTTCGACTTTACCGCGAGCATAACATTACTTTAAATTGCACCGCTTCTTTCCTGGCAGAGGATCCACACGAACTTCCAAAGCATGGATTATCACTAATCCTAAAAGTCATTAGAGAATTAATCTAGAGGAACTACATTCCAAAATGACAACGTTAATGCAGGCTTTGATAGATATACGTTTCTTTCTAGGGAGATATCCTTGTCTCCTCATCTTTTGTTCCGCTCCTGCCCGTCCCACGGTCAGCAGAATTTGGTCAGCATAATCCTTGAAGAATATTTCAGTTCTATTTATTTACTGATACGTGTTTCTAAGTGATAACAACAATTCAGTTCCTTCAGTAACAAAATAAAATTAAGCATTACACAGAAATGTACGGTCAAATCTGAAAAATCATTTTCACATATGAACCTTTGGACTACAGACGAACGATCAGCTCTTCTATTGCCTTAAAAGCATGAAAAAGCAGCGGAGAAACCGCGATTTTGTAAGAAAATACTTCTGAGATCATCTTTGACTTCTAAGCTAGCTATGTAGAAAAGTGAAATCACTTCATCTCGACATACATATTTTGACTTCACTTCATCAGATTATTTGTTTGTGATTTGTATACCATACTTATCAACTGCAAGTTACAATTCATGAACATGAACAAAACGAACATGAAATTAACAGAAGAAAGAGAACAGAGAAATCAAGAGCTGTATGCGCTGGTCTTCGAAGACTGGACTCGCGAGTATTTGCATCATTTAGTTCTTGTACAGACGAGTACAAAGTGCCACTAATTTTCTACTCAGTACTCAAGACTTACATATAAGGATAATTTTGTAAGCAACTGAAAGTTGATGATGCTCGCTTCTTCTTCAGTCTGGAATATCAAAGGACGAGTCCTTGAGCCAGTTAAAATAATAAGACAATCGAAGGCTAATTATGAAGATGATGTTTGGTTGACGTTTACACAACGCCACGTCTTTTACTGGTCACCATTTACTGCAAGAACACCTTTTAAAAAGAGTAAAATAGGTGAAAATTATGTCTGTTTCGTTGTCGTAGCAAGCCTGTGCTACGCGTCAACGCTGCATTTTCACCGCGTAACTACCGTCTGGATTCTGCTCCATTTTAAAATTATTCGTCGATAATCCAAAAGGCTTCAAAATTCTGTTTCCTAGTTCCTTTAGTTTCTTGATCATCTCAGCTTTGGTTCTTTCGTTACGCTGCTCTATCATGCCAGGAAGGCTCTAAAACGAAAACAACAATAAATAATAGATGCAATAGCAGTATTAATAACAACAAACATGACAAAATTTACAATGACATGACGGGCATATTTCAGCTGCGATTTTCTACAGACTACCCATTCAAGCATTTCAAAAGGGTGCTTTGTTTTCATCATTTCGTCAAATCATCTGTCTTGAACCTATCACCCTGACTCAAGACTCATTATCCCCACTCAACAGGTAGTCGGCACAAGGACAAGAATTCGGCTTTTTTTGGAATAATACGGACGGTGGCATCCAACTTTTGCATTAGTGTTTAAAGGCAAACATAATGTCTGTCTTAAAGCTACATAAACAGCTACGCGAACCACTTACTGTCAGTGTCGCATTAGCTGACCATTTCACTGTTCATGGCAGATCATCACGGCAAAGGAAAAGACAATCCAACAAGTTCGCCCTCTTGTTCAAAAGAATGGTTTGCTTTGGTAGTTACCCATTACGTGTGGCGTGGAGGCCAATATTTGATTTACAAAAACCAATAAAATAGTATATCAATAAAAGCTATGCATAAATGAAATGTATATCTTTATAATATACCAAGACGGAATTTTGAGCCTTTTTGTCGCCCGGATCTGACGCAAGCAATAATTTATAGTCAGCCAATGCGTTATCCCACCATTCTTCTTTCGACTCGTTGATTTGCGCACGCCGCCGTAAAGCTTTCAAGTATGACGGGTCCAACTCGATCGCAGCGGAACAGTCTTCTAAACCTTCTTTCAACATTTCCTGCCAAAATACCATGACAGCTTAAGAATTGTAAATACATTGGTTCGTGATATGCATACATTAAACTTTACATACCATTTTTACGAAACAAGCTGCCCGGTTGCTGTACAGTACGGCTCGAATATCCTTGAAACTTGGAGGACAGGTACGCAACCCGTCAGTATAGGTGACAGCCGCCTGGCGATAGTCCCCATCTTTGAAGTAACGGTTTCCCTGCTCCTTGAGCGAAATAGCCATTTCTTTCTTTGCCTGCAACACGCTATGTCAGTTTTATGAATTATTAGAATGTAAACTTATTACAGTCTTTTGCTCATCAGAAATAAGGGCCTCCGCTTCAGAGAGGTACGTCTCGTCGATGAAATATTCTCCTCTCGCTTCACAGCTTTCAGAAGACCCCGGGTTGCAAGATGCATCGGAACCTATTTTAACCTAAATTAAAAAATTACACTAAAAATTGTACCCGGATTTCGAAAATTCAGTCTTCCTTAGCTAAGTGATATGGATTCAATGGCAACAGTAAAAACCAGAAGACTGAAATCCTAGTCTTTATTCTACTACCAACAGTTTGCCCTGATTATGACCGATGCTGTATGGCTAAAAGGGAGAACGGAAAAATTGTAACCAAAATGAATAAAATAACCCCAATGTTTTGGAGTAGCCTCTAAGAGTGGGAGCATTGGATACCGCAGATGTCTAAATGACATTAACAGTAATGATACGAGATTGAAACGGCAAAAATGCAGTGTAAAAAATGCATTTCTTACTTTAAACTGACACTCAAACGAAGGCACCGTCCGAAGGCAGATAACCACAATGAATAAAACAATACGATATCCTGGGGTAGCTTCCAAGAGCTGGAGCATTCGATACTGCCGTTTCATAAAGGATTGAAAGACTCTAACATTTGGAGCATAGCTTTTTTTCTGGTTTCATAATGAAACCGTTCCTTGGCCCTTATTTTAATGAAGTTAATGGCGGGGTGTTGATGTCAATTTCCATACCATTAGTCAGGAGTGCCTTATCTATAATGACCAAGTCGATAGCAACTGTGCAGCAAACACACCGTGTAGTCTCCTACTTTCTTCCCACATAGCGTCGTACTCATTTCTCATCTTCAAAAAAAGTGAGTGTCCCGACTGGGAATCGAACCCTGGACTTCTCGGAAATGAACCTGATTCTGACGCTATACCAAATGGACAAACCCGGTTATCTTTAAACACTGGCAGTAAGCAAAGCCTTTAATAAATGTCCTCTGTTTCTGTGCATAGGCACTGCATCCGATCCAACCATATTACATTAAATTACAACAAAATATGTTATACCTTACATACGTTGTAAAGTACGATTTTACAAGGGTAAACAACAAACCTTGATCAAAGTACATTTTAATGTCATTTGCCGCGCACGTACGGCATAACCATGCCAATTCCTGATTTAACAGTTCACAAAACTTCACCTACCATATGCTAACTTCTTGACCATTTTAAGATAATCGGTAGTTATTCAACAGCCAATATTATAAATTTATCTCTTCTAGCATTCAAATTCGCATAATTAAGCAATGAAACAAAAGAATCTATTTTGCTGGTAGAGGCTAAGCAATTAACGCCTAAACATTTGACCAGACGACTCCATTAAACCGAACAGATAGTTAGATAGCACTTTAATATCCTACCATTGAACTTATCACACTGTCGAAGGACCGGGACCACGAAAAAATCTTATAAAGCAATAAAACTAAACAAAGAGAGGTTTAGTCTTGCTACTAAGATCTTCTATAATCACGATTCATGCAGAACGATGTTGGACGTCAAAATTCGCCGGTAGATCTCTTCTTCTCATTTCCATCACCTGCAAACACCATCCAATGGTAGGAGAATTTCTCCACCTGGTCCACTGCTTCTGTTCTCTGCACAGTGTAACGGGCAGGAGAACGAGAAAGTGCAAGACTGATACGTGTAAAATATTTCCACAACACACTTTGGAGGTACCAGTGCAATCAGCTGAAAAACGAATAGCAAATTGTTGAACTGTACACAGTCGAGACAGCATTGAGTTCTAATGCGGTCGCATTATAATGGGAAGAGGCAAGTCATAATGCTGTATGACGCAAGCACTGCAATAACCGTTAACCTGACTTAAGAGTTTTTGTCACGCGTGATAAGCAGCACCGTATGTAAATCTTTTTGTTGATAAGAAAATTAGATATGAAAAAATATAGAAGAAATCTGTTAAACTAGAATAAGTATCGAATATTAAATACCAAGTAATGTCCTAATAAGTACTGAAGAATCCGCTACATCCAAGAAACTTGAATAAGTACTCACGTCGTCATTCGTAACTGCTTCTACTTCCGGCTGCACCATGTCATCGATATCGCTTTTACAGTCATGAAACTCGTCCATATCCGTGTTGGCCGAGTAAAACACTGCCTCTTCGTCAGAAAAAGAATCATTAACCACGACCGGCAGTTCTGCACCTTTGCTTTCAGCAGTAGCCTCTTTACCTTCCATTGCTTTACCTATAAATTTTCGACCTCAGTATGTTAAACTTATAAGTCAATAAAAAATCAAAAACAGTAAAATCAAAAAGGCATGAATTTTAGAAGAATAGCGAGAATACTTAAATGTACATCGTGATAGTTTCAGCTACCAGGTAGTTCAAGACCTACAGCAGTCATGAAACGCAGGCGTCACATAGCATGGTCGCAAGTTACACGCTATGACAGGCATATCGGACCACAATGCCATGCCAATTGTGAGCAGGTCCACGATTTGCTGCCCATCTCTCGGCTGGTTACATAAGCTCAATACTGTGAATTTCGCGATCAAACGAACAAGCTGAGACTCAAACCCCAAGCTCCTAAACTACAAATTAAAGGACCTATTCATTTGACCACTGCGACTTCCACCTGAGAGACCAATCTGAAGGTAAACGCTTTCACAAAAGTATCTAATTATAAATATATGGCCATTTTTAACACAGCATACATTTAACTCTGAGTGAACATTAACTAACAACGCTGAGTTACCAGATGCATCCTGCGATTACGAAAGACTTATATACCATGACTCGTCTTTATTGTAAAAATCTATTTATAAAACTGCACGCACCATCAAAATAAAAGCTATTCTCAATAATTCCTCAGATGACACGTCGCCTGAACAAGAAATCCCTTATCTACGTACTACTTTATACCGAAGTTGACATTTTCTTCTTTTTTGCATGGCTACAGGTGAAATTAACATAACATCTTACCGATCTACTTCGCTCACTAATAGACCATGAACAAAACTTGGTCAACTTAATGAACGTAAGATACAATGAATGCTAATCCCTAATGTGCGGATCAGTCGCCATTTAGCTTTCAGATACAGAGTTAAAACAGTAGGAAGTGTGCAGCTGCACTCGTAACACCAATAGATGGGATAAAATAAGGAAAAAAACAACTTGTTGAATGCCTGTTTACAAACAGCTCCATGGAACTCATCGAGGGACTCTAATCCAAAATAATTAGTCGCCATTCAAAAGTGCCTCATGTTTACAACTACGGGGTCATAGTAGCGTGCTAGTCCATGATTTCCTTCTCGCCAAATGGTATGCGCTTACTTACCACTGAAAGACAAAAAGATGGTGACTGAACAAGATCTCATTGCGGATCCAGGCATCTATCGACTGAAATGCGCTCCGTTTCTTGGATAGCGAACATCAAAACAAAATTCAGATGTGCATCATTGTGTCACACAGGCAGTTTACATAATGCATCTACGTTCAAAAGTTCAGGTTATGTACGCGTTCAGGTTAAGAACAAGGTATATGTAGCGAATTGCTGCAAGCTGCAACATATGGCAGGATTGCACCACAACAACAGATACGATAATTATAATTTTGAAAGAAGTCGTATTCGCAGGGTTGATGCATAGTCTCAAAATATGTGCTGACCTGAAGCGTCAAGAAACTCGTATCGATAACTTCCACCAACACTATGTGAGAAGTATTCACAAAGCGAGACAGTACCACCGGGTCACAAACGAACAGTTATTGACAATGACTGGCACGCATAATCAATGAACTCAGAAACTGGCAGCTAGCTCGGCTCAGAAAAGGGAATAAAATATATTTAAAACTTTTCTAGCTTGGGTATGGTGGACTGGCCGTAGACGTGTTGCACAACAGCACAAAATATGGAAACTCCTCGATTAGGCAGATCTTCTTGAGAGAATGAACATGAACTTTGTCGCTGCAGTGAACGCTGACTAATATCAATTTGAAATACCATTTCCAATTATCAGACATAATAAATTTGGGTTACTCTATTATTAGCCTCAAATAACGATGTTTAGTACAACACAAAACACAATTGTGGACGTAATTTTATCAAACAAATTCCATACTCTGTAAAACCTCTAGGCTGAAATAGACTTCCATACAGTAATTTACTTCAAACATAAAAGTGTTACTGACATTTGTCAGGGTACTATCTCAGACAAAGCTTTTATGTACTCGGTAATCTGTAAATCCAACTCTGCGATCTCAGCATTAACAGTGATCATAAAAAAGGAGGGCAAAATATAGTTCATCGCATTCTCCATATTCGCAAAGGCCCACATAAAACCAAAACAGTCAGTTGACGAAGCAACAGCAACAAGGGATTGGCATACTGTGGAGTTGGCATGTCTGGGGAAAAATGTCCAAGATATGAGTGAAAACGAAATTACTATAGTGCTGCTGCCTGTACTACTCCTCAAAGACAGAAAGGCGCAATTTTTTCTACGCTACACACCCTGTGAATAAACGACACATTGAACAAACGTAGTTTTGCATTACGCCAAAGATGACCAGCATATGAGCAAGCTTACAATTAACAAAATATTTTGGCGTCAGAGTACCAGAGCATCAGCATATCTTAAAACGCAAGAAAGACAAAAAACTTTATTAAAAACAAATCAGCTTGCATTTACAGCATATTCTACAGGATCAAGCTTTCTGGTCAGAATAAGGGGGCAGGTTTCTTCGGAAACGTGAGTTAAAGCATGAAGGCTGTCTTCGTTGTACTTCTTGAACTTGTTACCGGTATAAACGTTGCCAGAGAGGTCAACGGCAAAATTAAAGTCAACCGGATTTTCCAAAGCTTCGTTAATCTTTTCTTCTAAGTTTTCCGCAGTGACAAAATCTTTGGACTTTTCCTATGAAAAACACTTATACATAACAACACGAAGTATGCATAAGTGAATAAAACGGGTTCATCTTACGATCATCTCCAACACCTCTGCTTCGTGGAGCCGGCGACTGTCCGACGTCCTTTCCACGTGGTCTTTAATGAGCCTCGATAACTGCTCGTTGACTTCATTCAACTCTGCCTTCTGCCGCGCTTTCCTACGTTATTTCTTGTGGCACTGCGTAAACATCCTCAGTCACAAAGCGACTACCTCAACTCTGCCTGTTGTCGGTTGATCTGGTCGTTTTCGAGCAACAACTGCTGAAACTCCTCTTCGTCTTGCAATTCATAGTTTTTTGTTTCAGCAGAGGTTTTCGTGCCCAGATTCAGCTGTTCTTGATAATATCTTCTAAAATAAACGGTTAAAACAATTTTTAAATTCTAAATGTAGGATACCGTATATTAACATAACCGATAGCATTACTTCTCACAATCTGAGATATCGATGTTCTTTTATTACTCGTCTGCTTGAACATCATATTATTTTAAATACTGTGTCGCTTCATATAGTACTTTACATTCCTTATATACATTCCTTACTTTATTTAACTGTTCCCTCGTTCTTGATCTACTCCCTTAATCATGCTATTGTCCTAGTCATTTCCAATTTTATGCAGAGTGAATAAACTGCTCGTGCAGTCAGTGTAAAATATAGCCTCGTTAAATTTCTAAATCGCCGAAAAGAGAAAGTGAGGCCTAATTCCATTAAACTGGTTTCGAGCCTCAAATAGCAGTTAATGAAATTCGAACACGTGTGTTGGTTCTTCAAAAGCGACAAAGAACTTAGGATGGTACAACGCGGCCGTGTTGCAGGCAGTGTTGTAAGTTTTTCTCTTACGGCCACTAGTTCGTACGGTACAATATGGTATGCTTGTAGATAGTGGTCATCGTGCTCTAGGTACTATACAATAAATTTTTTCCGATTCTCCGCTTGTCTTTCTTTCGCAATCCGGATCAATGCAAAATATTTATTTTTCATATTTATTCACAAATTTTAAACAGGAGACTTAACCTTGCTTCTTAGTTACAAGTACGTTGACATTATCATCAGGATCATCCCATGCGATCTAGAGTATCGTACATGTATTCACCTCAACGCATCATTAAACCTCCAGCATAACACAAGGAGGTTGTGCCTGAGATCGAATTAGCCGTTAGCCGATTGCTACTAGGCTCATATTTAGTACAAAGTGGTATGAAGAATAAAACGGTAAGGAGAAAATTTTTTCATAATACAAGAAAGAAAATAAAACAAAGGTAAGGATAATACAAAGTAATTTGAAAACAGCGTAAAAACATGGCTTATTTACATATAACGCAAAAAATATGGTCAATCGGGTGACTAATGAGAATCTATCAATATTTCGGTACCGGGTAATGGCCTGAATACTTGACTGACTACATTGTTTTGCGCTGTGTACAAAACAGCGTGATTTACGTTGCTGTCAGTATGATTACCAACGCAAGAACGAACTACTCCATCTTTCGGAAATGAAATAATCTAAGGTCAAAGAAAAGATCTTTTTACCAAAAAACAGCTTCCAATAAACGCAGGCCATTTGGTAGAGAAAATACAGAACTCCTAACAAAAAATAAGACAAGCATTCTAACCTGATTGACTTCAGAGCGTCATAATACGCATGACGTCGCCATACCAGTTCCTCCACATCCTGTGATTCTTGCCATTTGACGTGAACAACTCGATAGCGCTTGCTTTTGGCAGGGGGTACGATCGGTGGCTTTCTGAGGGAGCATAACAACAATGTTTATAATAACTAAATGTCAACACTTAAAACTTACCCAGGATTGGGTTTCCGCCGACTAATGTGACGACAACTCTGCCGGAAGCTTCGAACGAGTCCGCACAACAGACTTCTGTTCATCAGTTATCAAGGTCTGCAAGAAAAACGTATTAACGACGTTTGTATGTGCAAAACAACTTTCATACATCATGTAGGTTGCAATGTGCGAGCAGAATCTGTAAGGATGTAAAACTGTCTCTAATTTACATATGCACTTAATATATTATTGTGTCTATAATATTTATGCGAAATCCAAGACTGATACATTTACCTCTCCATGTCTCCCGGTGAGAATTTACCATATGGTCCGATGACAAGCTCTAAATGGTACCACTATTCCTTTGATCATGAACTGTAACAAGTTGTCTGGTGCAATAAAAGCTCCTTAAGCATTTTTGCGTCTTCGAGATCTAAGTATTAATTAACGTCAGTATTAATGTTGTCACTGCTACTGTTAATGATAAAACATACGTTTTGCGCAGAGCAGCCGCTGTTACACGGCAGATGATTTTGTCGTAAGGGAGTGAAGAAAAACGAAATAGTATGGAACACCAGTCCAGCATACATGTACAGGGAGCGAAGGGCAGCAGGTTGTATTCTGCCTTGAACTTTAGCAGTGCAGGTTCGTTTTCTATGCGACTAAATTTTGTTTATGAACTGCTAATTCCTTTGAACAAGGAAATCCCCCATCCCTCTAAGCCATGATAAAGCTGGTCAAGAAACGTGCAGCAAACCGTAGACAAACGATAAAGATAGCGTGGCTCTGATGTTGATGTGGCTTATATTATAATGCGTAAAAACTAGGGT